GAGGAGGCACGATCCCAGCAACATCTCAAAACATTCGCAAGTGATCTCACTCTGCTTGTGTGACGGAGACTTGTTCTTCGTTCACAGACATTTTGAACATGTTCACAAAAATCCATGTGATGAGTTGTGGGTGTCTCAGTTTAGGTTCCTTGAATCCAAAAGTGAAAAAAATGTGTGACAAAATAAGAAACTAAAATGCAACCAATAGAAGACTAAGGATACACCTTTCAATCAAACTAGAACATAAATAGGACCCTTTGGAAATATATTGGGACATAAAAGAATACCATATGCAATTTGATTTTACAGCTAACCACTCGACTGAGACTGCTACTCTGTACCTTATAGAGCAAATTAAATCTTAGCTTGAGAAAGGGGGTGTAGTCGGTGCTGTATTTTTAATTTGCGTAAAGCTTTTGATACAGTTAATCACCATGATTTATTATCAAAACTTTCCAATTTTTTTTTTTTCTCCTGGAGCCTTCTGGCTATCTTCCTATTTATTCAATAGGAGACAACGTATGAAGATTTGTGATGTACGGTCAGGTAATTTGGTGTGTAATATGGGAGTCCCACAAGGATCAGTGTTAGGTCCCTTACTATTTAGCTTGTATATTAATGATCTTTCTGAACAGTGTGCTGATGTGAATTTGCAGATGTATGCTGATGATACTGTGATCTATGTACATGCTAAAACAACGGATAGTATCTACTAAACTAACAACTGCTCTGCAAAGGATCACCTGTTGGTTAGATCAGTCGTGCATGACTCTAAATGTAAAGATCAAATGTATGTTTTTATTTTTCTAAAACCAAGGTACAATCTCATAGTACTGATATTTACATTAAAGAGGAAAAAAAATGACATAGTCACTGAATTTAAATATCTTGGTGTGACCCTTGGTCCAAATTTGAATTTTAAGAAGCATTTTAAGAATATGACTAAAGTCATTTAATTCAATCTTAAAAAAATTAAATATATAAGACATTGTCTCTCACTCGATGCAGCTAAGACATTCATGTGATTCATGTGTATCGCACAGTGATTGCTGGACATGGGCACCAGCGACCCCCGTGACCCAAAATGGAATAAGCGGGTAAAGATAATGGATGGATGTATATCCATTTTTTAAACTTGTCAAAGGACTGCAGATGTGAATTAGCTTTTGCTATAATTTGGTACAGTGCATCAAATGGTGACATTTATGGTTGAGTTGTGCACTGTCCTTTTTAAAATAAAGTTCATTCATTCATTTGCTGTATTGTTGCAGGGGAGTGGTGGTGCAGAGGTTAAAGGAGGTGAACCTGTGATCGGGAGGTTGAAGCACCCACATCTGCCTCCTCCTTCATTTTCCCCACTGTGGGTCCTTGAATACGGCTCTTCCCCCCCAGTTGCTCCCTATAGGCACCAGGGTGCGTTCACACCAGCCCGGTCTAGTCCGCTTTAATCAAACTCTAATCGGTTTGCCTAGAAAGTCCAGTTCGTTTGGGGTGGTGTGAACAATCGAACTTTGATGTGAACCAAAAACGCGAACTGTGGTTCACCTAAAAACCTAGGACTCGGTTCAGTTAAAGTGAACTCTGGCACGGCTCGAATCAAGTGTGAATGCAAGTGGACCAGAGACCGCTCCAAAAGCAGGAAGTGGACTAGAGCGCAGGGCAAACGAACGTGTATTTCTCTTGCCTCATACGGAGCCGTCTCAGCCACCTTGTGTGAAAAACAACATTCTCCATGGTTTTCTGCCTCATCTTCTGCTCATGCTGAGTCCATTGTTGAAATATGACAAAACAGAAATCATAAAACCGCTAAAATTTGACGCCACTCCATTTTTGTTTTTATTTCCAGAAAAAGAAGAAGTGTCTTCTTCAGAGGTTTTTGTGTCATTTCCTTCAGTAGTTCTTGGTGCAGCGCCACCACAGGCGAGGGGGGAACAGGTTGGCTCGACTGACTCAGTGCAGTGTGAATGCAAACCGTACCAGATAAAAATCTAAAGAAATGTTCCAAACTTTGATCCCTGATCGAGCCGAGTCTACCGGACTATCAGGTGTGAAAACGACCTTAATGGCAACTGGCAACCCTCTGCTCCACACATGTGGGCTGCTGCAGCAGCTCTATGGTCAGCATCAGGAAGGGAATCTGGTGAGCTCGCTCACTGTGGCAACCCCCGAAAAAGGAAGCGGTTGAAAGGAAAAAAATATAGTTAGCTGGAATGTTGTATTTTATTGGCTGTTCCATGTGTACAGAAGTGTTGTAATAGCCAATTCATTGTGATTCTTGGTGAAGATTATGTATTTTCTTGAACTTTTGCCTCAAACTCCTCACCTCCTTCTACAGGTGTGCAGTGGAGAGCATCCTGTGCTCCAGCATCAACATGTGGCATGGAGGCTGCACAGCTGCAGAAAGAAAAGCTTTGCAGAGAGTGGTGAAGGCTGCACAGAAGATGTTGGAGTCAGCCTCCCCACCATCACAGACATCTACACCTCCAGATGCAGGAAGAGGGCCACCTGCATCATGAAGGACCCCACTCATCCAGCACACACACTTTTTACCCCGCTCCCCTCAGGAAGGAGGTTGAGGAGCATTAAGTGTAGAACCGCTAGACTGAGGAACAGCTTCTACCCTGAGGCTGTTAGACTCATGAATCTCTAACCAGGATAATCACTAATAAAATAATAATAATAATAATCATTGTGATGCCATTTTAATTGGTGATATGTGACTTATCTGTGCTGTTGATTTCTTGCCTTTAAGCTTCTATATTCATATCAATCTGCTCACAACAGACATGTTCAGGCTGCTGTTTAATACGCCATATTATTTTACATTATTGTTTAGCGTATACCTTAGATCCTTGTATACCGTTTCTTTTTATACTTTATATTTTTGCTATTTTTTGGTGTAACTTGGACCTTGAGTACAGTTTCGTTCCACATGTAATGCAAATGACAATAAAGAACTTGAACCTTGAAACTGGTCACAACAGACAGTCTGGCCATTGACAGGCTTAGGAAGTTCTGTTGAGTGTTCTGTCATAATTCTGATGATGAATTTGACAAAACGTCCACTGAAGCTTCCACTCGGGGGTTTAACCTTTGAAAACACACTCAATAAGTCTAGTATGTTTTTCCCAAAAATGTTTTTTTCTGTTGTGTGAATTGCAGATTTTAGAAATCTAGACTGAATGTTGAATTTGATGAACGAGGGGTTCAGCGTTAATGATTCTCTCTAAGTGGACACAAGACGATCTGCAGCGCGAGCAGTTCACTGTAAATGACGCGAGGCAGAATTTCTCCCGCTGGAACTTTTTTTTTTTTTTTTTTTTTTTTTTAAGGAGTGTCACACTAGAATGAAGTGAATTTTATTTGTGACACTTCTGTAATTTGTAACACAAAGCGGCCCGCTCTATAAGGAGCAAACCAAACAGAGCTTTGTTACAAAGCACACAGACACGTCGGCACATCAAGTCAGTTTTCTGCTCGTCTTCAGTCCTGAGCTGCAACAACAACAACAACAAACGAAGATGAAAGAAGCTTATTCACAGCTCTTAGAAACATGTTGAGGTTTGGGACCCCTCCCTCAGGATCCACCCACTCTGCACACAAATCTTTAAAAACCGTTTACTTTTTACTGCTCCCCGTCGGCCTGCTTTACGCCTCCGTCAAGAGCAAACGTTGACCTCCTGACCTCTTCTGACAAAACGCATGATGGCTCTCAGCTCTAAAGGTCATCGAGGGTCGTTAAAAGTCTGCTTTTACCTGAGAGGATGGAATAAACCGAACTGTTTTAGACTTTAATATGAAAGTTTAAAGGACATGTAGCGTATTTTCCGTCGCACCCCTCTATAAGTCACATCAGTCCAAATATGTCTAATAAAGTGGAAAAATCTATGAATACGTTGCTTTGCCATATAATTTGCATCTAATGGGCATCACCGCTGATGCGTAGCGTTTATTACACATCACCACTGACAACACGGAAATGTGCCAAAAATCGATTGGTTGCCAAATGGCGTCCGCTGGAGCGTGCACAGGAGGACTTTAACAAGAATTTAACAAGATTAACACTTAAAAACAATTATTTGTTTGCTCGAAATTATAGCAAAGGTGCGTCTCGGTCCAACTTTTCCTTAATAAATGCACTTTGACGGTCAAATCAGCTGCATTTTCAAAAGCCGATTCGCGGAAACATGAACGCGCAGAGGGGCGACTCGCTGTGCACTTCTTCTAAATTTAACAAGATAACCACTTAAAACTATTATTTGTTTGCTCGACATTATAGTAAAGTTGTGTCTCAGTTGAACTTTTACTTAATAAATGCACTTCAATGGTCAAATCAGCTGCATTTCGCCGGGGAGGAGCAACAAAATGAAGCTGATTTGACGGTTGCTCCAGGCAGACGATGGTGGAACTTTGGCAAGTCGGTTGTGTCATTAATAGCCACTTTTACCTATTACATGATACAACGGCATGCCATACTGCTCGACTGCCATCTAGCGGCGAAAAATGGTAGTGTTCACTATTTTCAGTCAGAATGAATGAAAACGGTCATATCTCAGACAAAAAGTGTTTTATAAATATGGAAAAAATCCATAAATACGTCGCTTCGATGTATAAGTCGCAGGGCATGTAAATTATGCAAAAAAATTACTTATAGGGTGAAAAATACGGTACATGTTGATTTGGTGGAAAATAAATTTGTCTGCTTGTTTGTCCTGACAGGACAGATGAAAGCGCTGACCGTCACACGTTCAGGAGCACATTTTTTGTTTCAAGCGTGTGTGTTTGCTGTTGGAATGTGCGAGGAGCCGTAAACTGATCCACACCTTCAGGCTCAGATCGTCTTCTCTCTGTCCGATGAAGTTTTGTCAGAGTTTGATGCAGATCTGGAGCAGCAGGGTTGCCACATCTGGACTGAAGCTGTTCGTCACAAACACGAAGTCAGACTCCTAAAGCAGTTCTGCACATTAAAAAATAAAAAAAAGATAATATTTCCTCCATTTTCAGACAGAGCGCTGGATCACATGGCCCAGGAGATGTTGGCCGTGTGCTCCTTGGCCTTCATGCGCAGCACGGCGATGCTGGACGAGCGCCTCTCGAACTCCGGTTTGGTCTCAAAGGCTGGGTGGGAGGCGGCGGCCGGCGTGAGGAGGGAGTCTGCGCTGAAGAAGTTGTTCAGGGAGACGTGGCCGAACTGGTTCTGCTGACCGGGGAAGCCCATGTAGCCGTGGTCGGCCGTGGCCGCAGCAGCCGAGCGAGGGGAGTGAGAATAGGGAGCGACGCATGGGGGGGAGCCTCGGGGCAGCATGCAGGAGGAGACCACAGAGCCCCCAGGAGCTGGACTCGGCCACAGATTGTTGGGGATCTGTTGGGTAAAAACAGAAGTCTTAACTTACTTTTATAAAACTTCATTTAGATATCGATCTGTTTTTTTAAGTAAAATGCAAAAGTTTATTAAACAGATAAAATGGATCCTAAAAGTTTTCAAGCTCAAACTGTAAAACCTGAGTCAACATTTTTTTCACAGTGCAGATATGAAATGACTCAAAGGTTTTCCAGCTGATGATGTCGAAAAGTTTAAGTAAAACCCACTGGGTGACTCATGAGATATTTTGCTGACAGCACAGACAGATGACTTAGACACAGGAAAAACGTCCACCTCCTACTTCTGTGGCAGTGACAACAAAACAAATTGACAAGTTTCTCTGTTCCTTAAAAATAAAGTTTGGGTGCTGATGGTGCAGCTAAATATATTAACAAATAAGCCAAATATTTCTACAAATGTTAACAAAATTAAATAGTTTTAGAGGAACTTAGAGTATTTGCCTAGAGTGTCATGTAAACAAGATTCACCTCCTATTTAAAAAAAAATAATAATAATTCCCAAGTAAAAACAAAACTAGTGACATGATCTGATGGGTTATAGCTGAACCCTCAGGCAGGCAGACATGCAAGACCCCCAGGTAAAAATAAAGGGTATACAGTAGTCACTCGCTCTTTTGCGTTTTTCAAAATAAGATTGGACATGACCCACAATTGGCTGATTGATGGATGAGCCGCACAATTGGCATGGATTTTTTATTTAAAGTAAATTATTTTAATTGAATTAGCACCTGCTGCACATGTGTGCAGCCCACAGCTGCAGGTAGAAGCTCCCTCCTACAGCATGTCATGATCTCCGCTCTGCGGTGGAGAAGTGGGCGTGGCCAAGAGCGCTGGCAGGTGGCAGAGAGCGGAGATCATGACACGCTGTGATCTTTTAGAGTTTAGAAACACTGTTTAAATTATTGCAAGAGTGTGGGAAGGGTTTAAAACACCTTTATACACACACACACACACACACACACACACACACACACACACACAC